AAAAAAAAAAAAGAAAATGTATGTATACATAATGGAATATTACTCAGCCATAAATAGAAATGAAATTATGGCATTTGCCAGCAACTGGATGGTACCGGAGACTGTCATGCTAAGTGAAATAAGCCAATCCCCAAAAAACAAAGGTCGAATGTTCTCTCTGATATGTGGATGCTTACTCACAATAAGTGGGAGGTGGGTAGAGAAAAATACTTTGGATTAGACAAAGGGGAATGAAGGGAAGGGATGGCATTGGGAATAGGAAGTTAGTAGAATAAATCAGATCTACTTTCCTATGTTCATATATGTTTACATATGAATACATTACCAATGTAATTTCATATCATTACAACCAGAAGAATGGGAAGTTGTATTCCATATATGTAAAATGTCAAAATACATTCTAATTTCATGCATTAAAAAAAAGAATAAAAAAAAACAGCACCTTCTCTGAGCAGCCCTCCTTGACCCCCCACCATCTGCACAACTCACAGCCCTGCTTGCTGTTTCTTTCACTGACCAACTGTTCCCAAGCCCCGTCACTTTGTACTCTACTGTACAACTCATGGGTTTATCATCTCTCCAGCTGGAATGGAAGCTCCACAAGGTCTGTTCCATTTGCTACTTTATCCTTTCTACCAGACACCGTCCTTACAGAAGAGGTGCTCCATGGACACTTGCAGAACAAATACATTTTTCTTTAAACAATGAACCATCTAGCAGAATCTGCTTTTTGTTTTAAAAAGTCCCTTTCTGGGGCTAGGGTTGTAGCTCAGTGGTAGAGTGCTTGCCTCACACGCGTGAGGCTCAGGGTTCAATCCTCAGCACCTCAGGAAAAATAAATGAATAAAATAAAGATAGTTGTGTCCATCTACAACTAAAAATATTTTTTTAAAGTTTCTTTCCTTATTTAACATTTTAAATGGGATGAAAGTACATGTTTCACATACATGCTCAATATGGCTGGGTGGTCTCTCAGTAACAATAAAATCCCACTGTGGTCAGCCAACTGCACTAGACCCTCTCCCCTAACAGGACACATCCCCTGAGGTACTCAATTCATAGAAGTTCTTCCATTTATATCTAGTCATTAAGCATGAAAAGGGATGCTATAATTAAACAACCTGAAGCAAAATTCTTGTTTGAGTTACATTTCAACATAAACAGAAGACAATGATAGGAATTTTAATGACCACAGTTTATAACTTATATGCCAATAGAAGAAGTTTAAAATTCCTTAAAATTTATTAATCATTATAATTTTAAATGATGACTAAATACTAGACCACATGTACACACACTACAGAAACACATATTTTAGATCAGGATTATGTGGGTTGTTTTGTAAAAAAATTCCATTGCTATTTCTATACACACAACTTCACAAAATACCATAATGTTATTAGTCACTGACCAGTTTTTCTCTTTTCCTTATTTTATGGCAACATCTGGTCTTTATCCTTGCAACAATGGTTCAACTTGACCTTTTTCATACGGTAAACAACTAAGTGCCAGAAGCCTGATCTTAAGCATGTGAGGTCAGAGGTACAAAAATAAAAAGGAAATCAGGTTATAAAGAATTCCCTCATCCCTTTAACTAAGACCACTAACATTTACTGAGTGCCCACTATGTGCTCAACAGAACATATAAAGGAAACAGTTAGATCACAAATGTCAGGCTAGGGTTGTGGCTCAGTGCTAGAGTGCTTGCCTAGCATGTGCAAGGGCCTGGGTTCAATCCTCAGCACCACATAAAAATAAATAAATAAAGGTATTGTGTCCAACTACAACAGAAAGAAAGAAAGAAAGAAAGAAAGAAAGAAAGAAAAGAAAGAAAGAAAGAAAGAAAGAAAGAATCACAAATGTCCATCTCACCTCTCCTACAGAAGGGACATGGACTCAATGTGTATAGTCCAATCACAGCTACAGAAACCCTGGTAACTTTCAACAACAGAAAAAAGGTCTGTGAGCCCAGAAAATTATCTCACGAGAAACTTCAACAGCACCGCAGGATACCACCTCTTCTTTAAACAATCGACTATGCCAATAACCAACTAAAGGATGAATCTGCTTTGTTAAAGGAGCTACTTCAGTTGATGCTTTCATTATGTAACAATGTTTTATTTAACAATTATAAATATTTCCAAAATTATAAGCCAAAAAGTCTTAACAGAATGACCTTCCAAAAACTGACAAATTTCTCAACATTGCCAATCCATGATTTTGTTTCTGGTGGTGCTGACAATAGGATGTGGGACCGCACGAGTGCTAGGCAAGTGCTCTGCACTGAGCTACATTCCAGTCTTCAGTCCACATTTTTTAAATGAACTAGTTCTAGATTACTCTGCCATGTCCACAGAGTCATAAAATTGCTGCACTCCCCCAAGGAATAGTCTTGGAGATCACTTCGTTCCATAGCTTTATTTTACAGAACCAACATAAATTCAAAGAATTCAGCTCATGTGTTGCTCACTCTTCTGTTTGTCAACAATGCTCTTCAGATCCTCAGCATTGAAGAGTTTATGAGGATTTAATGACACCACAGAGAAGCTATGGCCACATGCCAGTTTTACAGAATCCTGGAGGAAAAAGGCCTCTTTCTCATGCTGGTCCTCCTTCTACTCTCTGGAGTTAGGAACATAGACAAAAGCAATCTGACCTCTTTTCTATGACACAGTTTCCAAATACATAAGGATGATTATCATACCCCTGCAAAGCCTAGCCCTTCTCAGCTTACTCCACCAGTTCTCCTCAGACCAGGGATCCAGGCCTCTCAGAACCCCAGGCACCACAGGAGTGATCTCTGCCTTCCTAACTGCAGACCCAGATCTGGCTGGGAATGGCCAGGTGAACCTAGGCAAGGGTGAACACCACCTCAATTACTGGTTAGACGGAGTCAACAACGGCAGCAGTCAAACCCTCTAAAATTAGCAGCACAGGTCTTTTTGCCCTGCACACAAGAGTGGGTTGGATTCAATGTAGATGTGCCGCTTCAACCCCTCCTTGCCACTTAAGTGTCGCAGTTACTGATGCAGTCAGTCGGCCTTTGGCCCCAAAACCTCCACTAGCCCAGTCTAAGGAGGAGACTCTTTCCCCCACTCACCACAGAAACCTGCTTCTTTGTCATAAGCTGATAAGATTTAGACTAAGTAAATTACCAAGTTTCCAGGTAGATAGCGCTGACTTTTTTCCTTAAAACGTTTAAAAACCCACACTTATACACAGAATATCAATAGAAAACCTCAGTAACTAGGATGATGATGATAATGATGATTTTTTGCTTAAGGTTTACTACTTCAAAGATTTTTTTTTCTGATACTTAAATCTTTATGGAAAAATTTATAAAGTTCCATAGATATCAATAGTTCATAAATTCCAAGGGGCTTTTGGATAATTTTTTTTTAAGAGTTCAGAAAAATTTCACTTCCCATTTTTTAAAAAAGTGTACACGCATACGTGAGACTAACTGATCATCTCTACTCTCAATCACAGGGGGACAGGAAGAAAGGCAGGGCCATAAAAGGAGGTGTGGCCAGTCTCTCTTAAAGCAACATGCCAGGCTTAGCTGATTTTAGTCTGAGCCAACACCCGCTGCTGCTACCCTGGGCCCAGGCAAGCCACTGACAGGTAAGGCAACAAATGCTCTTTAAAAAAAAAAAAAGCAAAAATCTATGTTTTGGATAAAAGGTAAAGGAAAAGAATCTATTAAATAGCTATAAGCATTACTAACAAAAATAATGTTATTAATATAGTTTAGATTGTATGGTTACTAGCAGTTCTAATTAGCTATTATTAAGTGGGGTGAAAGCAATCAATGGGTCATGCCAAAAATATCACTGCCAAAAAACAGGGCTTATTTTGTATGCTTCTGCATGAATTTCAGATGACCAAAAAACAGTATCAAGGGTAAATCTGCAAACAATGTCAATTTTCCAGGATATATAAACATGAAAGGAAAGAAACAAAGTTATTTAAAGTGGAGTGTTATTGAATCTGAATGCATTTTACATACAATATAACTAGCCATTCGGCATAATTTAAAGTAAAAATCATTATGTTTTACTATGTGAACACATATCTATGTATATAAGTCTTTTTTATATTTAAATTTTTTCTCAGGACAAAATCCCAGTAGTAGAATTCCTGGAGCAAAAAGTATATTTTCTAAAGCTTTAGATACAAAATAATTATTTTTGGTTTACAAAAACATTTTACCAATTTACCAGCAAGGAGTAACAACAGTCTGGGCTCTACTATCCATCTGTGAGCATGGGCATTTTAGTTCTAAAGATAAACTTTAATTAAATAGGTGCAAAAAATAACATCTATGTTGTCTGGTATGTATTATTTTATGATCAGTATAAACTTGCTTCATATTTTTTCCTAGAACTTCTTGCCTTTAAAAAAAAAATCACAAAACAATGATATATAGTGATTTGCCAATATTTATGTCCATGTTGAGAGTGGATGTAAAAAAAACTGGCAAAATATAAATCATGAAGAGACTTCCTTTCAAGAAGGGTGTGGGTTTTTTGTTGTTTTCCTTGTTTTTGGCGGTGGGTTCTGTCTGTCTGGTGTTAATCTGAGCACAATATAGCGTAATGGTTAAGAGCAGTGGCTCTAGGATCAGATCCAAACTTGGGCTCTGTTATTTATAGCCCAAAGCCTGATACAAGTTGCTTAATGTCTCTGGCTTCAGTTGCTTCGTTTGTAAAATGGGGAGTAAGATTTCTGCCACATTAGTCTAATACTGTCTCTCATAGTGTGAAAACAATGTCTACAATTTCCCCCACACCTATTAAACTGCCAAAGGATGAATCCAAAAGGCAGAATTTCCTTGCCCTATTATTTCTGTGAAAATTATTTTCTTGAATTTACATGAAGATTCTATGGAATATTTTGCATAATGATTTTGAGTCTATGGAGATTATGTATCTAACCATGCTTTCTGGAATTTGAGAGCACTTTTTGTTTCTGGGGGTTAATTTTACTTTTTGAACCTAAAGCCGCAAGAGTACTGGCCCCATAAAGAGCCACACTCACATGCTCAGAGGTTATGCGGCTGGCTGTGGAGATGATTCCTTTTAAAAGTCACTTTCAGTAGGCTTCTAAGAGTTTATTAGTACTATTATCTGTTATTCCACAGAATAAATGCCAATTTGGGCAACTACAGGGCTTTGTGCATGTATTTTAGGCATTTACTAGATATCAACTGCTCCTTTGCAGCAGTTATGTATGGGATGAAGATGTGTGGGATTAAGATGTGTGCTGTAGTCATCATCCTTAAAACATCCGCATCTAAAAGGGAGCTGGGCCCTAATAAAGGAGTTCATCAGGGGGGCCTTCTTCTCTGCCAAGGTTAAGGCCTGCTAGAGTGGGTGACCCCAGAGGGTGGCATGTGCTGAGGACAAGCACTGTCCTCCACTCTGCATAGTCCATCAGTTTCCCAAGAAGTCTGTAAAATACTGGGCATCCATACAAAGTGAGATAATGCATGAGAAAACCTCTGCAGACTGAAGAGGTAAGAGAATTTGTGGTATTTTGGAAGCCCCAAAGAAAGAATAACAAGTATTTTGCAAAAACCTTAAAAGCAGGTGTAAAAATAAATTAATAGATACATGCTATGCTGGGTCTTCACCAGCTGTTTTCAACTGAAATTTCAGTTCAAATTATTATTAAAATATTGATTAAAATAGTAAAATCTAAATGCATTTATACAACGTTTTCTTTAAAACATATTACAAATTAACAAACTCCTTCATTTAAATCCACCTATCTCCCTCCTTCTCCCAGCCCCTGTCTCTCTGGTTCAGACAGAAATGAGTTGGTATATTACAGTTTTGAGATTCCTTCCTGTTTTACTTGCTTCCCACCCACATCAGAGCATGCTGGAAACAGGAACTAGGGATAAAACATACCAAATGTGATTAACGGAGTCAAAGAGCCTGAGTTTGAACCCTGACACTTAACAGCTTTGTCTTTAGGCAAGTCGTGTAAGTGCTCTGTGCCTCAATTTCACCATCCACAAAAGAACTGTTGGAAGTTTTTTGAGCGACTACATGTAGGGTTCCCAGGGCAGTGGCTGGAACAGTCTGTTAAGTAGTATGGACATTATTATCCATCCAGGACTTACAGAGTGAACCTTTCAGTGAGGACCAGGAGAAATAAGATTTGGCTCTTCTTTAGCAAATGAGTATTTGCTGACCGGTTAGCTGGAGGCAGAAGACATCAACATCACACCTGGGATGCGGGACCAGGAAAACCTCAGTCCCCCAGCAAAGACACCACCATGCCTTCCCCGGGGGAACGGGGGAGAATCAGGAAAGCTTCCAGGAACAGCTAGTTTTCACGGAAATGGCAAAGGAAAGTACAAGCTGAGGCTGCAGGACAGGGGCAAGAAGAGAAGAGTGCCAGAGGGCACACTGTGGGAGGGAACAGGTGACATCCAAAGACTACAAGTGGCTTGGTATGGCTGTAGCCAGCGCATGTTAAGAGGGAAGGTGGCCAGCCACCCAGAGGAAGAGGGGGCACAACCCCACCATGAAGGATGCGTGATCACGGTTTCAGTTTGCCTGCAGCAGACAGGCACCATCCGAAGGCTCTTGAGAGGCTGCTGCACAGCAGCAGAGAGCGAGGAGGACACAGAGGCACGCGGACAGACACAGCCACGTGGGGGTGGTGCAGAGGTGAGCACACAGGCCTGCCAACTGAAGGACTCAGAGCCCTGGCCACTTGCATAGACAGGCTGTGAAGAACCCTGAGCAAATTTCTGATTTCACCTGAAACTCCATTTATCCATAAAACAAGGAAATTTTGTCCTGCCTAGATTAGTTGAGAGAATAAAGATAAAACCTGAAACTCCCTTGGACTTTTAGGAGGAAAGGTGCATACTAATTCTAAAAACATTCTGGACTCAGGAGAAAGAGTGTACAGACACAGCCCTTTGCCATCAAGAGCCTTCTGCTGTGTGATCCCACTATCCAGGACCCCACAAGCAGAAGCTGGAGGCAGAAGACATCAACATCACACCTGGGAAACATTTCCTCAATCCTACCATTCTTCAGGAAAACAGCCCAAGGACAGTATGTCAACAGAAATCAGAGGAAGATTCAGATCATATAGCATTCATCATTTAACAATAAAACTATAATGAACACACAAACAGAAGGTCTGTTTCTCATGTCATGGATAGATTGCTTCTTACAGTTCTCTAATCATCGTCATCTTCATCTTTATAACTTCTATCCTTCCTAGTCAGTATTAACGCCACACAAGAAAAAAATGGTGAAAGACGAAATAAAAACAGTAGGAATATGTAAAACCTTAAGTATGCAAGTGTGTGTCTAACCAAACAACCCGACACTCGGGCACCTTTCACTTCCCATGATGCCAGCGGGCAGGTCTGTGAGCTGAAGCTGGTCTTCAGGGAGTGCCCGCTGGGGCAGGACACTGTGAGAGGCACAAAGAAAAAACTGCAGACTGGTGAACACTGTTGCTCTACCTTAAAAAGTTCTTTGTGTTTTGTCCTGTCAATGACCTTTTGCAACCTACTCAAAGATGGTCTGAACGTCATGGGATCAGAAGCAGAAGAGTAACAGACCTAATAAGGTCTTGGGAAGGCTGCCCACACCAGCCTGTCAGTTTGTCACACCTCCACAAACCAGAGAAAGGTAGCTCCCCAGGAGGCAGGGGAGGTCACCCCAGACAGACTGACAGGTCAACTCTGCTCTGAATACAGTCACTCCTGTATCTCTGATTTTTTACAAGGATGTAGGAATGCTGAGAGTATGTTCAATGGATTACAGGCACACCTGTCAATGTAGGACTCAAAGATGTTTGTGGGGAAAAAAAATCATCTAATAGTGTACAAAGATTTATTTAACTAGGTTACAGGGCAGGTGCTGACTTACAGCAGTGGCTCGATATCACAGTAGAAGGGACAACCTAACTCTGCCCCTCAGTGACAGGTGGCTGCAGCTGTGCCTCCGGTTTCTTCTCCACTGCAAGAATTGATGTTTCCCACCTGCTCATTTTACAGGCAAATGGCACACCCAGCAGCTCAGGGGTACTTGTTTAGTTGACTAAAAACAAGGCAAGAACAAAGGTGATTGAGTGTTAGGAACCTTTGTGTGGGATACTGGACCAAACAGGGTCCCTGTTTGGACAAGAACAAGAATGTTTTTTCAATTATTTGAGGAGAGCTTATAAAACTAGGTAATCAGAGAAAGAAGTCTTTCTTCCACGGGGTGGATGTGTTTGTTTCTAAGAACAGAATCGGCCTGGCCTCATCTAGCATCCTGGCACATCTTGCTGGTCTTTGTTTCCTCAGTAATACCACATCTTTGTTACTCCAATAACCTTGAGCCGCCTTCTTCCCTCTCCTTTCCCAATTATGCTATTTCTCCCCACTCTGGAAACATTTCCTCAA